AGTTGCTGTTAATATGGTCACAGAGGTCATTTATGTAGAGTATGAAGAGAGTTGGTCCTAGAACACTGCCTTGGGGGACACCACTGTTGACAGGTACAGAATTTGTTAGGACGCTCCCAATTTTGACCATTTGTTGTCTGTTTGACAGGAATGCTTCTATCCAGTTATGCAGGTGTCCAGAGATACCATAAGATTTTAGCTTTAGGAGTAGTTTGTCCTGTACCACTGAATCAAAGGCTTTACAGAAGTCTATGTAGATTGCGTCTATTGCTTTGCCCTGGCCAAGTTGTGTAGTCCATATGTTTTTGCAGTGTAAGAGTTGCAGATTACAGGATAGTTTTTTTCTGTAACCAAATTGTTTAATAGAGAGTAGGTTGTTTGTCTCTAAGTGGAGGATAATGGATTGGTTAATAATTGATTCCATGAATTTACAGGTGACGCAGCATAAAGACTAAGCTGAAAATTACAGACCAATCTCTTTATGCTGCATCACCTGTATTCATTCATTGAAGGAATATTCATTGGAAGGAAGGATTCATGTGACTTTGACAAAGGGTTTATTAACTGCAACTTCCAGATAGGTCTGGACTCTCATCCTGAGAACCTTTGATTAACTCATTGGCTGCCAAGAATCAATGGACAGACTTTGGATTTTGTTACTGCTGACACTTGCCTTGGCAGAGTCTCCTAGTCATCCAAGAGGACTGTTTATTAACTTAGTAAGTGAATGTGAGATATCCTTATTTTAATCCTTCCAGAATTATTTTCTTTTAGGTTTGGACATGTATAAGGCTAAGAATAATTTGCTCTGGTCCTATTCTTCTATTTAAAAAACCTGCAGCATTATTATTCAGTTGATAATTGAATAATATGCTGCAACTAATCACACATGCAATCAATCTAGGGTACTATGTAAATCAGAACATAATCATAGATCAATGTCAACACATGACATTCCATCAAAATTCCTGCAAAATGATTATACAGCTGGTGCAGGCCAACATAACCTGGTTATTACGCAGTGCGCTAACATATTTTTATGGAGAATGTAGTGATGAATCTAAAGAGAAAAGGCTTTTCATAAAAGTATAGATATAGAAAAATGAAAAGAATGGGCAAATTGCTGAATTAACATCTTGTTTCACACATTTACCTTCTGGTTTCACATATGTTTTCCTCTAGAAGAATGGGGAGTTGTGTCTTAATAGCTTACAGTGCAAAAGCCTCTGCTGTCACCGACCCAAAGGATTAAGTTTGGCTCGCTGTGCAAACAAGGCAGCTGAAAACCAAGAATGTTCCCTAAAAGTGAGTGTCATTTTTTAAAAAAAAAATTATATGCCCATCATGAGAGAATCAGAGAGACATATTCTATTCAGCATGACAGCAATTAAGTGTTCAGCTAGTAGCACAGAAGACAACTTTAAAGTAACCATGATATGCCTTGCGCAAAACAAACATTATGAAATAAAATTATATATAAAGCCATTGGCACTATTATTGTAGGAAAATGAATAATTTAAAAGTGAAAAACATTTGTATTGAGAAACATATGTCAGGGAATTCATAGCTTAATGTTGGTCTATATCCCAGGCTAATATCTCTGTTTTCTGCATCTTGGGGAAAATGTCCAAGACTAAGGAGAGATTGTTATGAATGATGGAAAAAGATACACACACACACACACACATATATATTTCTATCATTCATAACAATCTCTCCCTAGTCTTGGACATTTTCCGTGTGTGTGTGTGTGTGTGTGTGTGTGTGTGTGTGTATTCCTATAAGCCTAGGGATAATGATCTGTATCTTTCTGTTTCCTGCAGAGTTTATATGGCGTTTACTACAAGTGCCCTTGTGAGAGTGGCTTAATCTGTGATGCTGATCGGACCATTGTGGGAAGTATTGTCAACTCTGACTTTGGCATTTGCAAGGACCCATCAAATTTTGTCATCAACAGTGACAAAAAAGAAAGAAAGAAATATGGTGAATAGATTTACCTTGGATCCTCAAGTAGCCATATGTATTATTACTTTTGTTGCAAAACAAATTCCTATGCTTTTACATACTGCTGCAATAATCATGTCCTTTATTGATCTAGATTTCAGTTAGGCTTAAACATTTTTTTTCATCCACTCTACTCAAAATTAGGCCTTGCCATACATTTTTGGTATTGTATCAGCAAGCAATAATATCTGGCTCACCTTACTAACTCTTGGAACCAAATGTAGGATGGAGCAGCCAGTGATCGGAAGAAAAATTATTAGGTAAAAATGCCATGGCTATGGCCTAGACTGGGAAGCTGAAACAATATCCTGACAAAGTATTTGCATCAACAGGTGTGAAGATACCAGTACTTCTTCAAAATGTATGTAGAAACCTATTAGCGCTAGGCATGTTCATTCTCCTTTAATGAGGAATATCTTCCCCCTCAGTACTACATTTTTAGAATGGCTCATCTTTCACAAAACCAGAGTGAGGAGACAGAGGTGGTTCCCAACTCTCATGAAATTACAGATCAAGAACTGAGCAGAAAATAGACAACAACAGCAACCAATGTGCAGAGGAAGAAAATGTATGTTAATTGGGAAAGGATTTTTATTATTATTATTATTATTAAGGCAGTGCTTTCCACTCTATTCTGGTGGTCTAGCAATATAGTGAGTTCTAATAACTGACTTTCTCTGTAAGGAAATTTGATTTGCGCAACAGCAAATCAATTTGATTTGCACAATAGCAATGTAAGATGAGCTAGAATGAGGGATAACAAGTGATTAGGTGAAAAACACATAAGTAACATCATTGACTGGAATGTCCAGGTCCAAGGCACAGTTCAAAAGTATCAGTAAAATTTCTTCCAACCAAGCTGGCCTCTTGGTCATTTTTCATAGAAAGCTCAACATAAGTTTCTTTATAGAAACATGGATAGGGTTCCTATTGCCTTCCTTGGGCTATTTTTTTTTTCAACTACCCAGTCTAATTGGCAGTCTTAATATGATCTACAAGAGTAGCAACCATTTTTAGCTTCCAAGACCAGACAAGTTCTCCAAGCCATGTCAAACATGCAGGACTAAATTAAATGATGTTACATTTATCACAAACCATTATTCGCTGTACTTCCTACCGGTATTTTACTATTTATATTGGTATTATCTCTTTCCTATATTCTTTTAAAAATACATAATGAAAAGAAGAAAATAATAATATCAGCAACTGTCTACCCCAAATTGTCCCTTTGACTAAGCCTGCTTTGCTACTGCTCTAATTTGTCTTCCAGCCAGTTTTTTTCCGCAGGGAAAATGTTACTAGACTTAGGAATATTCAAAGATCGTGCATCAAGCAAGTAAGGAACTGTTTAGTTTAGAAGAAATTGGCAACCATTTGGACAGTTAATAAAATGTATATTAATGCATTATTGACAGGGCCTGACTTTTGATAACCCTATATGTCTATCTGCCTGCCTGCCTCTCTCCCTATCTACCTACTGCAATATGTCCTACTCTGAAAGCTGCCATTCTGAGAAGTTCTGTCTTTTGGAAATGACTTCTGGATGAGAGTTAATAAAAATATACAATCGAATGCTTTGCCATTTTTAATGATTTGTCACACACATCTCTAACACATTGTATTATTTCTGGCAACAATTTCATTTTAAGTTACCTGCCATTCTGGGTAATGTTTAATTGTGATGACATAAAAGCCTGAATGAAACACCACCCTAGGGGTTATTTTGGACTGCTTAATTTTGGCTTTTACATCATCCCAATTAATCATTAAAGAGAACAGTAAGTGATGCTTAGAAGTAGCTTAATTAAAAAGAGTTATAAGAGTAATATATACATAAACAGTAGGTAGGTTGAAATACCACGTTAAATCATAGTTGTCAAATAAGCTACAATGACTTGGTTAACACATAAAGCAGAGGTCTAAATCATATTTTCCCAATCACAGCATCTGAATTTACATTATGCACTGAGCAAAAGTTAAGCAAGTAACTTAAGAGGCAGCCCAGTCAGAGGGAAGAGAAAGAGACTGTCAAGAGACTGTGCAGCAATTGTGGAGTTGACTTCCAAAAAATGAATTGAAGCCTCCAGTATGATACACCAATGTATCACCTGCATGTAGCATCTTAAAATTGACGTGCTTTCCCTAAATCATGGTTGAATAGGAAGCTCTCTACAATCTAAAGTTACACGGGCTCTTCTATTGGGTGAGTCATCCGGGGATTTGTGAAACAGAAGCAAGTTATTCAGAAGGACACAAAGATCAGCTCCAAGTCAGAGGACAAGCAAACCTACAAATCCCTTAACTCAGAAACCAAACAGTAGCATCAGTAGAGAAAGAACAGGTACAAGCCCTACTATGCCTTATTCTGTTCTGGAGAATTCTGAGCTGGAGTAGAAGCAAGGCCTCCCAGTTTTGGGAATGTTGGTAGCACTGATGACATCTACAGCAAACCATAATAATCCCAAATGATGATACGGGCAGAATGGCATCATCATACTGTACATATAACATCATCACGTACAAGTATGTAAGTTACAGCATGTGCATGATTATATGATATGCCAGCTTCATCATATGTCCACATTATCTCTCCTCTAGACATCCATGGGAGTAGTGGGGAAAAAAAGGAGGAAGGAGTGGCTGTTTGTAGGGAAGGACATCCAAGGAAGGCTGAAGCTTTGGAAGTCTAAAAGCATACATCAGGGAAAATCAGCGTCAACTGCCCCTGGCTAGAGAATAAAGGAACCCTGGTTGTCAAAGTCCACTCAGAGGGAAGGTCATCACTGTTATTTGTTTTGTCTGAATTCCTGAGAATATTTACAGCTGGAACCAATTATCTTTGGGAATGTGACTTGTGCAGTTTTATCTCTTTGATTGACTCAGGCACAAGTACTGCTTAACTCCTTGCATCCCTGGTGAAAACTTATGGCTTCGCAAACATGTTCAGCAGCAATTGAATTTCTAGATTAGGCTGTGAAAATACATATGAGAGAAGACCTGGGAAATGTACTCGTATTTTAATTGAAAGAAAGGTTTGTGTAAGTTGGATAACATTGCGTGTGTGTGTGTGTTTGTGTGTATTTGTGTGTGTGTGTGTTCCAAAAGGATGACAATAAACTTTTAAGCAATTTTAAATAGTTTGAAAGGGAAAGGACATTTGTTCAATCAACTTTGCTATGATATGCTAAGCCAACCAAATTTTAGCAAGGTGTAGCTTTGGACTGAAATCACTGAAAGGTTATTTACAATGCTCCAATAAAAGAAAGAGAGGATATGGTTATTATTTGTAGTGGAATCTCCAGCTAGACTGGAGGGAAGTGTTAAGAAGGATACAAGTTCAGAGTCTTTGCATTGCAGAAAGCAGCACAGGCCTGCCCTGCCCCAGAATCCCTAATGCCTGGTCTGCCTGTTCTCAAGGAAATGCAGTCAGCCTAGTGAGTTTCTTGTAACATAGCTGACTAAAAATAAAGCTTCTGTTTGAGATTATTTATGAGTGGTTTAGGTTGCTTACACCTGTCAGTATTCAACACCTCAGTGACAGAAAAGGGACTGATTTTTTAAACTCTTCAGAAAAGGGCTGATTTGGGAGAGGCAGGAATATTGGTCTCTTTTGCACTTTTCTTTTTGTAGAGAGACAGAAAGACACTTTCCTTTATTTGCCAACCCACTTTATTAGTCTCTTTTTTCATCTGTACAACTGCCCCCTTCAAGTGCTGTTGTCATTTTCATCTGACCTAGCAACTGGGGGAGTGTGAAAACTATCCATGGGTTCCTCCAGGACACGCTCACTACCCACCATACTGATATACGGAAGGGGCTGGAAGCTATGATCAGCTCTCTCAAGGGGATAAAAGCTATGGCCAGTCTCATTGGTACCTGGGAGAGGGTGAAAGCTGCCATCACTAGTCTCATTGGTGCCCAGGAGAGGGTGAACGCTGCTATCACTAGTCTCATTGGTGCCCAGGAGAGGGTGAAAGCTGCCACCACTAACCTCATTGGTACCTGGGAGAGGGTGAAAGCTGCCACCACTAATCTCATTGGTGCTCGGGAGAGGGTGAAAGCTGCCACCACTAATCTCATTGGTGCTCGGGAGAGGGTGAACGCTGCCACCACTAATCTCATTGGTGCTCGGGAGAGGGTGAAAGCTGCCACCACTGTTCCTGTGAGGAGCATCAGAGGAAGACTCAGTGGTTGGGATTAAAGGCTGGCTAATAAGGGAGGCATTGGCAATCTGGCTTTGTCTAGTGGATTCAAGAGGGTAACCACTGAGTTCAGACCCTAGAGTATGCCCACTAAAGATCCTGCTTTCTTCCTTGTTTATCTTCAGGCTGAGGATCAATTTGCAAGCCTGAGTCTGCACGTCTTCTTCAGGATGGACAATGAGAGCCAGCAAGCGCTCAGAAAGGCGGGAATTGTCACCAAAGATGATTTCATGGAGGGAGTTTTTGTTATAGTCCCACTGCATTGACTGGTACTGCGGAGATTGGCGCCCTTCGCTAAGTCGTTCCACAAATGCTAACATCTTGCAAAGCAGATTCCCAGGGTGAGAAGTCTGGAAGAGGTTCAGGAAGTCAGCGGGTACCTTGGAGGAAAAGATGAAAAAACTTCATTCACAATACTTCAGTTCAGAGCCTTCCTCCTCATTCTTTCCTCTCTCCTCATCAACTCAAGGGGTGAAAGGTAACACTAACCCTGGCTACCCCATTCTCAAGCTGGACACTGCACGTTGTCACAAAAAGGGAAAGAAAATAAGATATCAGTTTGTTTAAATTCATAATTAAAGGTGCCCTGAATTTCATTAAATGGAAGAAGACTGTAATCACGTTCTCTGCACGCTAGTTCAGCCTGTTATCCAGGAGAAGTGGATGGACAGCTTCTCTACTGTTAAGTGTCACAATGCATACCTGTCCATCCTTTGATGTAGGCCAGATCAGGATACTACATGACAAGGATTACAAGAATACAACAGTACTGTTGTAGGGTATAATAACATTAGCTTGAAAGCCTGCCAGAGCTTTCTTCTGCCCATCGTATACCAAACATAATCAACATAGCATTGTTTTGAATTCCCCCCCATGCTTTTTCCTTTCCCAGGATTGAGTTGTCAGTTACTTTCTCTTAATGGTTCTCCTAACAACCCTTCATTGCTCTTGTCAAGGTTATCTCTGAATTCATCTACATTCTCTCAGATAAAATTGAGGAAGCAGAGCTATTTCTGGATCGGGGCTAGAAGGGGCTTGTATATTCATGATGAGTAACAGGGACAAGGCTAGATCAAGCCCACTGCCAAGAATATGACAACTAAGTGCTCGATTGTGCCTATCTTCCTACATTAGAACCCAGAGGATGTCGACAGTCAGATTCAGATTTTAAGAATAGCTGAGACAGATTCTGCAGGATCTGGAAGTTCTCCTTAAGCAATATCTAGGTCTCTAAAAACATACAGTAGCTTTACCATAGCATTTGAATCTGCTCACTGAAATCTCAGTCTTATTAACTGTAGTCTCTGTGCCAGTTGCCTGTGATTTTAACTAATGCTCTTCGTGACTGACCAAATGCAATAAAACTGGGCTAGAGCAACTGATACAAGCCTTGAACCTGATGCCCAATCCATCACAGCCCCCAAAATATAGAAAAGTTGAGTTATGCAAGCTTGGTTCTAGAATTATTCCTAGGAATTACCACACTCACAAGGACACCATTAACCAGGCTCAGGAAGAAAAATGGATTAGCAGAGTTTAGCAGAGTTTAACTATATGGTGTGACAAATGGACATTCTTATTTCTGGCTGATTTCAGCCATAAGATTTCTAGAACTTAGGATTTCAGCCATAGATTTCTAGAACTTAGGAAGTCAAGCTTTCATAAGTTGCTGCTATGTAGTCAGATTCTAAGAAGAAGCTAGAGATGCTGTGGCTCAATGATGCTGGAGATGGTCTCTGCTCCAGCGGTTCAAGTCCTAGCACTGCATGTGGGGTAAACTCCCATTACTTGCCTCAACTTCTGCCCCCCTTGCAGTTTGAAAGCATGTTCTATGTGAGTACATAGATACCACTTCAGTGGGAGATAATGCAGTTGGTCAGATTCCTTCTGGTTCTGACCCTTTCCAGTTGCAACGCCTGCTTACGAGGTGGCTCCGATGGAGGAAGGGGATCTTGGATGACCCTGCTGGAAGAGCCACCTGTCTTGGTCTCTAGTGTGAAGCTAGTTTGCCCTGCTGTGATGCATCTTGGAAAGCATGCAAGCGTGTATCTAACAGAGCTAGTAAACAGGCAGCCAAACTAGTACTCTGCATTAATATTGTAGTCACCTGTCTAATGTAACAACACCATATTCTAAATAAATAAAAGATTATGAAAAAGTGAAACCCAACCCCCAAACCTCTCTGGTGATCCTGGCAATTCCTGCTATGTCCTACTGCTGCCTCCCACCCCAACACAAACTTCTTACCTGGCAATTCATGATGTCATATAGCAAGTCTTCTTTCTCAATGAGTGTATGAAGAAATTTGAGAACTTGTACCTGATCAAACAGGTGATAAGATCCATTTTAGAAAGTGCCATGTAGAAACAAGAGCATTCTACCTTCCTTTTATAACTAAAGCTCTCTAGCAAATAAAGAAGCACTGCTGGCAATTTTTGTTGTTGTTGTTGCTGTTCCTGGTCATTTCCCCATAAGGGCTTTATTGCATCAATCGAGAGTCATCCAACTATTACAAGTCAAAATAACAGTAAAGAGTACAGACTTCATATCCTTTCAGTGATAGCTTGAAGGAAAATAGCCCGGCATCCAGAAGCCCTGAGTGCCTGAAAAGCCAATTTGCAATGCTCAGTGCATCAACTCTTCCCTATGCCAGCAAATTGATTGATATCCTCTATTCATTTGCATGTGGGGGAAGGGGAAATTAAAGTTGGAAGTTTATTTATAGTCCAAGACCACTCAAGTAAAAAAAAATACCAAACACAGCAGAAGGAGAAATCTATTCTGCTGAAAAACAGCTTTTTCCCCTTTCAGATTTTACTTTTCGTCTAATGCCTGTCTATAGAAAAGGCATGAGGAGAAGAGCACTTCTATCAATAGATGCCAATTAAGGCAGGCCTCCAGAGCATCTATGACAAATTACCAGTTGCAAAATGTAGTCATGAATCAGACCGATTGGAGGATTCCATGTAATGCTTCTAGACTTGGCAGCAGTGCAAAGTTGGTTTGATAAGTGAAGTGAGAGGCAGCATGAATTCTAATAATTATTCTCTGCATTTCTAGTGTTGAGGATGTTGATGTAACCAAACTGACACCACTTACCCAACACAGAGAGATCTTTGCAGGCTTCAGGATTCTTATTTTTGCAGATGTTAAAACACACACACATATACACCTACACCTACAAAAGCATACTCCAATGATGGCTGAGTATAACTAGTGCTCATGAGTAGCTAACAGCAGTTGGAGAAGAGAATAGCGTGCTCTGGAAAAGCCTGAATAAAGACTGATCAACATTTTACTCTGGGGGCCCCTTTTTCGTTCTATTTCTGGTATTCAGGATGTGATCATTTTCATTCAGTTAAAAGGGCAACATCAATGAATAGGAGCAAGCCAACAGCAAAGAATAGGATATCCCAAGGTAAACAAATAATACCAATAATTTTTAAAAGATCAGGGGAAAATGTTATTTAGTGTGGACCCGAATATGCTTAATGATCCACAGAAGGTAGCTTATAGGGCAGGAAGGTGGTTCAGAAACTAGGTTCAGAACTGAGTCAGAGAACTAGATTAAGTCAGAAGCTGAATGACTGCAATTAATGATGCATTTACAAGAAAGATGCTGAATATTATTACATCTCTTTAAAGACATTAAGCTGTATTTTTGCTCTGCTCCAAGCTTAGCTAGTCTCAAACTCCTGGGCTTATTGCAAGAGAAGAAAGTGCCTGTGTGTTGTGTACCTTGGTCGAAGTGTTTGCTGTGAGCAGAATGTCCATAAAGTTTGTAAGCTGCGTTCTCAATGATGCGTGTGTGTGATCTGGTATGTGCAACGTATTCAGCAGCTTCAAACCAGCAAGTTGCAGATCGTTGTCCCAGTTGCTTGTCACAATCTCAATGATCTGGGGGACATATTCCTGCAAAGAAAGATACGTAAGAAGAATTGACAAGCTTTGAGAATTGAGACACAATGTCAATAGTTGACTTTGGACTTTTTAAGGATACATCTCTAAAGTTAACTGCAGTGCTTCTCAACTTTAGCAACTTTAAGATGTCTGGACTTTCACTTCCAAAATTCCCCTGCCAGCACAATGGCTTTTATTTAAAATTTGTGAATGTAAAACACACACACACACACATACACACACACACACACACATATATCCCTTGATCAGAGTGCCTTCTACTGGCAGCTGGAAGAATGTCTTTTCACTGAAAATTTAACTGTAAATTCAATGGAAGGAGATTTTGATTTAGCTTTTAAAAATTTGTGTCAGCCTGCCCAAAACAATTGGTTTCATCTTTATTTTACTTTTTGGAAATGTTAGTGAACATGTGTGTATATATTTATTTTTTTCTTTCCCTTTTTAGTTTCATCCTAATATGGCTTCTCTATTAGTTAAGTGAAAGCCAAATATCTTAAATATACCACTAAGAGCAGACAGATACTTACTAAATTGAGTAGCTCATTCTTAGAGACAGAAAAGCATAGAAAACTAGTGGCAGAAAAAGTCCTAGTGGTCCTTCAAGTCTGCCCCTTGAATATTTTATTTTTAAAAAATTTTGTCAGGTGATGAACATGTGCTTATCCCAAGCATGCTTAAACTTAGTTACAGATGATTGACCCATTACCTCAGCTGGAAGTTGGTTCCAAGCTTCCACTACTCTGTGAGGTAACACTTTAAAACGTTATTTTTGAACTTCTCTTGTTATACATGAAAAGCATGTCCTTCCTCAAAAGAACAGTATTTTATCCATCAAATGGGTTGATTTAGTCTACATAAGTGGAAATTTAAAATTGAATAACTACCGGTATATAGTAGTTCTGATTCACAATTGCTCTACATTTGTAGGAGAACAAGAAATAAGCAATCCAGAAGGTTTTTTTAATTGATTGTTTATTGCATTTCCTTGTGGATCTCTTTTTTTTTTTTAGATTATATTTAAATACTTATAACTTTATTAAAGTATTCACAAGTGTTTAAGTTTTTTTTATTATAAATGGGCTGTAAATTTTTTGGCTGCTTGGAATTCCTTTAAGGTGTGCATGAGAATGTATGTGTGGTCATGTTTATTTATAATGCTCTATAAAAAGAAAATTTGGCATGTTGAAACAGGAAAATATATTTTTGAGCATATATGCAGATAATTCAAAATCCCAATTACACATAGCATTTATTTTTGCTACATAGGAACACAATTCGCTCTGTTTTGAAACAAAATCACTGAATAATGTAAAGTAAAAGTATTGTGAACAAACAAAAAGTAAAGGTAATGGCTAACCTTTCATCTGAAATAGTTGTAACTATGTAATCTTTATTATATAAACTACAGAGAATGCCCAGGAAATAGAGAGATGGATAGTTTATGAGTCAATAAATCAACTTTTTAAAAAATATTACTCTTGATTACATAAAACTGAATTAAAAACAACCAAGGAACAAAGTAATCTATTTTTATATAACATAACACTTCCTAAGATTATGTAAGACCAATCAGGTTATTATTGGGCTGCACTTCCATCTTGCCAAAGAATAATAGATATTGCTTTGAAAACAGGAAAAACTCCTGGTTATCTTCTTACACCTATTTTGATGTTTCTGCTCCAGTACATGTCAAAATCCAAAATGATGTTTTTAAAAGGTGCTTTTCCAAGTTTTTTTTAGTGAGGTTTATAAAACTGGGACTTTGAAGATGGGTAAAGACCATGCTCACTGTGCACAATATTTTAATGATGATTCCCAGTCATCCAGGCAGAGATGTCTGGAAATTGACTCATGGAAACTGGTTGTCTTTTCTTTTTGAATTGAGACCCAACAGAATAACAGACTAACAGCCTTCATTCTGAAGAAGATACTTGGATAAGCAGCAAAATGTTTCAAGCCAAAAAGAGAAGAAGTCCAGTTGCCATGAACATTAAACTTCCAGACTGTGCACATTATTCTGCGATTTGCCTGCTAAATGTGGATGCAAAATTATTGATTCCAAACCCGTTATATACTTTGTCGGCAATATTGGTTTACGTCATCCATCCTGCACAGTCTCGTTTTATTTAAAAAAATGTCAAGCATCTGATAATTGAGAAAAAATATAATTAATGGTGGAGGTTTTACTGAATGAAAGAAAAAGCCATTAGAAATGGTAAAATAATTTTTTTAAAAAACATATATTCCCTGAATGCAAATTTTCTCCTCTTTTATCAGTTGGATCAAATTGTGGTATTCAATTTCCTTTGCTGAGTTATTACAAATGAAATTACCTCTCTGACTGTTATGATATCATGTGGAACTAATCAAGGCCACCTTTTATCTCCTCTAATTTTTAAGTTGGTTAGTTTCATCAGCTTGCTTGAAGTAACTTTAAGGCATAAACCTAGGGATATCACTACTGTATGTCACTATATCAGTCTTGAAGTAATATTCATTTATACAACATTTAACTTTCATAAATTTGATGAGATTTTACAATCAATAATATATCACTAGCATATAATAACCCACATTTCCACTGCTACTATTATGTACAAAATGTTGTCTAATAAACCAACTGGGAAAATTGCGAAGATTCTGGCAAGGAACTATAACTCTGACCCCATTCACATATTTATACTTAGCTAGGTAATCCTATTTTAAAAGGGCTCTTTTGGTAATCAAAAGCAAGCAATTACTTATGGACTCAGTAGATTGTTAGAAAATGGTACGTTTCCTCCCCTCCGTATCACTTTCTATATTGAATTAGTTTATAGACCATATTTCACCTCAAGGGAAAATATATAAAGTAGAGCATTAAATAGCTGTGTTCATTTTATACGTTAAAATTATTTTTATCCCATTCTTTCTAATAATGTCCTAGTAAAAGGTAAAGGTTCCCCGCGCCCATATGTGCTAGTCGTTTCTGGCTCTAGGGGGCAGTACTCATCTCCATTACAAAGCCAAAGATCCAGCTCTGTCCAAAGACATCTCTGTGGTCATGTGGCCAATATGACTAAATGCCAAAGGCACAAGGAACGCTGTTACCTTCCCATCAAAGGTGGTCCCTATTTTTCTACTTGCATTTTTACATGCTTTCAACCTGCTAGGTTGGCAGAAACTGGGAGAAATAACGGGAGCTCACTCCGTTATGCGGCACTAGGGATTCGAACCCCTGAACTGCCGACCTTTCTGATCAGCATCTTAGCCACTGAGTCACTGCGTCCTTGCAATGTCCTAGGGTGACTGACAAAAAAATCAAATACAATTTAGAAAGAAAAATACAAAACATACTTTGAAGAAAAAAAAAAACCCTACAAACATCCCAAAAGGAAGCAAAGCATAAGTCAATAGCAAATACAGGATAAAAAAACCACATCTGCAGAAAGTCAGAATCCTTATGAATGGTTACGCAGCTGCTAACATCCTTAATATCAGTTACATATAAGAGTTACATATGTATATGATTTATATGCTGCCCAGAGTCACCTTTATCAATGAGACAGATAATGTATAAATTTAATAAATAAGTTGAATCTATAAGATCATTACTACAAGAAATGAGTCCTAGAGTTACATTTGGGATCCATATACCATTTCCAAAAATGTTTACCTGGATTTTGATTTTAAACTTCCAGATGGCAGTGAAGGCTTTGAGGGCATTCAGAGCCTCAGTTTTAGTCTCTTTATCCCTATCATCCAGGAAAGAGGCCACTAATTTTATGTCATCATTGGTGCAACCACTTGCCTAGGAAGTAAGAAAGAAGCAATCATGTGGCTAGGCACATCAGCCTTATCAATCACCATACTTGAAATGTGGCAAATATGTCATATCTACCATAACACCATCTGATCTGCATGATGTGAGATTTGATGGTTAAGCTACCAAATCATGGACCAAAATAAAGACAGTAAAGCAGTAGCTGTCGAGAGGGATCCAATACATTTCTATTGACGTTGACCTTGAGGAGCAATTCAGTTTCAAGACGGGACTGCAGATCCTGGGAGCAGTTGCCATCTTGTCTTTTTTTGATATCCCCTATGGGTACACCTGTATAGGACAGCCGGTCTCCTCCCACTCACTAAAGGTGTTTAATTACAAGCCCCATCAACTCTGTACTGCATTGAGGGGAATTGTAGTAAAACATAAGAGCATAGAGAGCTTTAGTTTTGGCCAGACTCATAGGATCAAGGATCACTGGGCAAGGCAACTGGAAGGAGGGTAAAAAAAAAAAAAATCTTACCATGAGAGTCACTGGGATTTGGGATTTGATCTCTAAACCAAGGGGACAAGTGCTTAATTTACATTTAATGTCCCAAAGTTCAAAAAAAGAACTGAGGAAATCAGTTGATCTCCAAAAGACCTCTGTATTGTATTCTGAGTACAAACAGATCCCAGGCTTATCCTTGGATGAAATATATCCTCATTACCTGCATTTAAGTGTACATTAGGACAAAGGTAGTCTCCCCGTCACATTCAAGGACTTCATGAATGATGCACAATGCAGTAACAGAACAGTAATTCCAATATCTGTTCCATGTCCAGCCAGAGTCTGATTTTCCCAGAAGGCTGATGTGCAGATAGGAATTGCTGATTTTATCAGATGAAATCTATTACCTTTCAGGTTCTGCCGAAAATCTACCTTTCATTTTTCCCAATGAAAGCACTTTAAATATCTCGCAGTAGAACATTAGGCTGACCTCTGCAGAAAATGTACATTTTCCAGAAAAAGTACATAATCTTGGAAACTGGTCTCTCATGGAATGAGGGATGATAACAATGGAACTTTAAGGCGGAAGATATTGGATTATAGACCTGTGCAACTGCATAAGGTTCAACCTTTCTCATTACATTCTACAATACGTCCTGTAATAGCAATAGCAATAGCACTTAGGCTTATATACCGCTTTATAGTGCTTTACAGCCCTCTCTAAGCGGTTTACAGAGTCAGCATATTGCCCCCAACAACTTGGGTTCTCATTTTACCCACCTCGGAAGAATGGAAGGCTGAGCCAACCTTGAGCCTGGTGGGATTTGAACTGCCAAACTCTAGGCAACTGGCTGCAGAAGTAGCTTGCAGTATTGCAGTACTGCACTCTAACCACTGCGCCACAGAGGGTCCTATATATGTAATGTAGGACTTTCACCTCAGATTCCGTCAAGTAGATAATTTGAGCGATATTACGAAGTGTCATCCTCTTGGTGTCATCATCTAGGTTGGGACTGAGGGACATCAGAAGCCGTTTGAGCTCTCCTGGAACACTTGCTTTTACAGATACAGTATAGAAAGAATCTGTAGATAGCCCTGGAAGCAATAATTCAAAAATGAAATTCCAATTCCATGGAAATTGAAGGTGGTTTAAAATTTCTGTGAAAACATTTTGCGCTGGAACATCCTACATATATAGGCAGTCCTCAACTTACAGCACTTCATTTAGTGACCATTTGAAGTTATAACAGCACTGAAAAAGTGGCTTTTGACCATTTTTCACACTTACAACCATTGCAGTATCCCCATGGTCACATGAACAAAATTCAAACACTTGGCAACTATTTCATATTTATGACTATTGCTGTGTCCCAGGAGCTTATGATTGTCTTTTGTGAACTTCGGACAAGCAAAGTCAATGGGGAAGCCAGATTCATTAGAGTAGAGTAGAGTAGAGTAGAGTAGAGTAGAGTAGAGTAGAGTAGA